TTTGTTTTCGTTTGAAGCAACAAAGGTGCTCAAAATCTAAAGACGGGTGCTTAACAACTAACCTGATGAAGTTTGAACTCTGTGAATGCTGTGTATTCTGAGAAAGCATCTCGATTTCAATTCAAAACTTGCCGAGTCGTATTTCGAGTCTCATTTAGGTGATTGCAGCTACACGACTTCACTGAACCGACGAATAATAGCAACTGCTCACGCGTGTGTGTCGTGTCAATGCTTGATCTGATACACTGTGCCCTCTGGAGACGTGCACACAATAGGGAACAAAAGATTGTATACGTCTCCACAGGGCAATTTCTATAGATGAATACATCTCCACAAGGTTTTCACAAAATAGATATATGGATTTTACTCAAAAACTAGGAATTTCCAAGGTGGGTTGATCTGTCGAAAATGGGAGAGTTTTCAGCCAAGGAAATTAATTCTGGTTAAAGTAAGAGCATTTTGAAACTTCACTTTCAAACTCAAAAACTTTACTACATGAGAACAAAGAAATGTCTCCGCGAGGATACAAATTTCAGTATGTGAGATCACACCCATTCACGGATTTGCCCATTTACAAAACAACTACTAACAGAAATTTCCAAAAATGCATCACTTGACTCATCTTTGGAAATGACCTTCTTTATTGTTTTTCTTCAAAATGACAGCATGCCAGAAAGAATAATTTCACAGGGAGTTTAAAGCATTACTATCTTTAACCAAGTTAGATTTTTAACAATAATTTGGTCAGTTACTTTTTGGATAGCTGCAAATGATCAACTCTACCTTTAACTACTTCTTGAATGCTTAGGGGTTTAACCTTGTAACACTTGTATTAACCATGTACTACATTGTATCTATTCTCTGATGACTCTATTGAACCATACAGTGCTGGGGCAGTTGTAGCTGAGATGTAAGTCCTCCAATCCTGCAATTACCTGATTTCAGGCTTTTTCAAATTGTAAATAACATATTGTAAATAACATCTTGGCACCATATTTTCGAATAATATAGCATTTTCAGTTTAGTATGTAAACTTATTCAAACTTGGATTTGATCAAATATTTGGGAAGTGGCATTGAGCTAATAAATATTCATAAATATTCATAAAAGACAGTTTACCCACTCCCAGTGGTCGCGAGCCCATCATGGATGATAAAGACATGGCTGGCTGGTCTTAAAACACTTTTCCAGTGTCACAATTTGGACTCCTGTGAAATCCAGTGCCTTTTGCCGTTTTATTGGTTGAACGTTCACAATCAGGCATGCACAATACTACAAGTGAGTCACAACGCACTCACCACAGCTTCATCTGCGCGTCATCGCGCAGTACGCGCAATGAGTGTGCCAATCTCCATAAAAGGAGTTTTCAATGTCTTACTCGCGGGCTGGACACTTCATTATATAGCTAGAGGGGTGTTTAAAAAGACAAAAAGTAAATTGGTGAACAAAGTCATTGGAAATTTTTTATTTTTGACTTGTTTTGACTTTTGGACCAAAAAGTTTTGATTTTTTGCCCGGAAAGGTATTTTAGAATGGGAATAAATTTGTGCTTGGTCGGTATGCCGATGATTACCCGAGGTGATTCCAGACTCCAACCAGTCTTCAACAAAGTGTTTAACACCTTTCAGGCAGACATTTATTCCTTTATTAAGAACATCATGCATGTGTCTGTATATTTGTTTTCAGATTTAGCTGACCATTTGATATTGGACAGAATTATAGATGAAAATTAGTGCTAAATTCCTTTTGGAAATGTCTAAACGTGACTATCCACAATGAAACCATGCAACTTGCACAAATAAAATAAAATCATGTCTGCTCATGTTTTTCTAATATTCTATTGAGAAAAATGCGGATATTTGGCATAGAAGACCGAATATTCAGATTATTGGTATTAACGGCACCGTCTAGGTAATATAATTATGTGCTGCAGATACTGAGAGGATTTTTTTTTTAGTCTAGTAACAATGAATGCACAAAAGGTTCTATCAGACATGCCTAGCAAAACGATACAAAACCATTGTCCTCCGCGTCTGCCTTAACGTATTGGTCTATTGCATCGGTTGTTAGCTGCCCCTAGAATTCCCCTTGCCCACTTAAGGTTTTACATCTTGCGTCATCACGGTGATACAAATGGAAACAGGCAAGCCCACCAATTTCAATTGACATTTGAAGCTTCGGGCGATGTTTTGAGGTAATAAAAGTTAATTGGATGTGTCACAAACAGGATATTACTCTCTCTCTTAAATTGCGTAACAAGTTGTAACAAGCTGCTTTGTTTACAGTGCCTCAGATGTACATGTATTTATAATGGTATTCATCAGGCAGAGGTTGATAGCTGTATACATTATTTTCTGAATGTTTTACAGGGTCAAAAAAAGCGGAACCCAAACCCCCAAAAATAATATTTCATATTAAAAAAAATATGTAGCACCAAAAATAATAATGACTGGAAAGCCAATTTCATAAGCTACTTTTGGATGAAAAATTACTGAAATTGGTCAATCCGTTCAAAAAATATCACCATTTAAACACAATGACCCTAAAACCTGTCTCGTCCAAAAAATGCGATTTCAGCAATCGTCGTCACAATTGTCTTCAAACATCACCAGCGATGAAATCTTAGTTTAAACGTTAATAATATGCAACAAAGTCCTTTTGAAGGCCCGTCTTTTAAAAAAGTAGATTTAATAAATCATATTGTTTGCCTAAACCAGGGTTGTTAATCAAAATCTTGTGTGCTACAGTTGGTGACAATTGTTGAAACAAGTATTCTGTGTCATTTTCTTTGTTGTTCCAAACAGTCAAATTTTTTGGATGAGACAGGGTTTAGGGTCATTGCGTTTCAATGGTGGTATTCTTTGAACGGATTGAGCAATTTCAGTAATTTTTTTCATCTAAAAGTAGCTTTTGAAATTGGCTTTCCAGTCATTATTATTTTTGGTGCTACATATTTTTAAAAATATGAAATACATTTTTGGGGGTTTGGGTTCTGCTTTTTTTGACTCTGTATATATTTACATAATATTGGATGGATTTGAGGGGGATGCAAGAATACATTGCACGAGCTAGAACAACATTGCATGAGTCGAAGACTAGTGAAATGTACGTGTATTTATAATGGTATTCATTAGGCACAAGGTGATAGCTGTATACATTATTTGCTGAATGATTTATATGTCTACATAAAATTGGATTGCTTTAAGGGGATGCAAGAATAAATTGCAAGAGATATTGCATGAGTCACAGACAAGTGCAATACTGTTACAGCAAGTGCAATATATTCTTGTATCCCCCGAAAAAGCAGTCTAATATTATTTCTATCAGGCTGACTTGATTCACAAGAAATAAACTTCAAGACACTGTCTTTATTTCTCAAATTTCGTCGAATATTCCTCGCTTACCAAAGTAAAGTTGCAATTGTGGGTGTTGACAAAAAGTGCATGTATACCCTACTGCGTATATTCTTGTACAATGTATCCCCCGAAAAAGCAGTCTAATATTATTATTATTATTTCTATCAGGCTGACTTGATTGGCAAGAAATAAACTTCAAGACACTGTCTTTATTTCTCAAATTTCATCGAATATTCCTCGCTTACCAAAGTAAAGTTGCAATTGTGGGTGTTGACAAAAAGTGCATGTATACCCTACTGCGTATATTCTTGTACAATGTATCCCCCGAAAAAGCAATCCAATATTATTATTATTATTTATATCAGGCTGACTTGATTCGCAAGAAATAAACTTCAAGACACTGTCTTTATTTCTCAAATTTCATCGAATATTCCTCGCTTACCAAAGTAAAGTTGCAATTGTGGGTGTTGACAAAAAGTGCATGTATACCTTACTGCGTATATTCTTGTACAATGTATCCCCCGAAAAAGCAATCCAATATTATTATTATTATTTATATCAGGCTGACTTGATTCGCAAGAAATAAACTTCAAGACAATGTCTTTATTTCTCAAATTTCGTTGAATATGCCTCGCAAACCGAAGTCAAGTTGCCATTGTGGTTGTTGACAAAAGTGCACGTATACCCTACTGCGCTATGGTATGTCGACTGGTTGACAACGCTGAGTTTCTATGCTCTTGATTGTGCGGGAACCAGCGAAATTTGTTAAAATGCCAGGATGAGGACAATTTTAACAATAATATTGTCCTCATCCGGTTACTACCTCTCCCCCCCCCCTTTTTCGATTTTTTTTTACGCAGCGGTTGACTTTGTCACCGCTTCTGATGAGTGCTTTGCCCCTCCCCCTTCCCCCCCCCCCCCTCCCTTTAGAAAAAAATCCTGATGGCACCCATGTTCATACTACACACATATAATAATGCAACTCAAACTTGACATCACAGTGGCGGCCAGACTCTAAAATGGCGCCAGACTCTAAAATTGGGATGGGGGAGGGGGGGGGGCAAGGAAAAAATGGGGGGGGGGGCAATTTAAAAAAACATTGTCAATGGTCCGGAAATAAGCCACTAGAGCAACTAAGAAGTGTGGTTGTTTTTATGAATGAGAAATGTATCAAACCACAGAATGGTGTATAACAAATGTACAAAGACGTGGGCTGTACACTTTCTAGGGCTGTATAAATGCATGTGTGGGGTGTTTTGTCTTAGGTACCAATGTTTTAATTTCTTTAATGAATCTTAACAGCGAAAAAAATTAACATAAATTAATCTACTTGAAGATAAAGTGTTCAGGAAAAACTGGGGGGGGGCAAATGCCCCCCATGCCCCCCCCCCCCCCCCCCACATGGGGACTTTCTGCTGTCCCCATAGTGTCTTCGGTCCCCACAGTACCATGGGACAACTTGTGTGTAGTACCACATCTACGGAATAAGTATGCGTGCGCACACGGTGTATCCCGTCCATGGGGCTCTCAAAAGTGCCCAAAAGGTGCCCTCTGTTGTTCGCACACAGAACCCATAGTGCTTTATACCAATTTCCCTCTGGGCTTCACAATTCAACGATTACTTTTGGTTTTTGTGTTCTGCAGGACCAACCTTAACGGCTTCTTTGTCATTGGAGCATCTGGCATCACACCACCTCCCGACATCGTGGTCCCTGATAACTTCCTGCAGAACGGACCCGACGCCGCGGTTCTCTACCACGCCAAGGCACGGCTCTTCCCGCGTGGCACCATCGCGACATCCCTGAACATGCTGGATGCGATTGTTTACAACACCGATACCTCCGCCGCTGCTGCTGCTACCGCTGACAACGGCCTATTGGGCAAGCTGGCACCAGGCCAGAGGTCGGCCGTCGAGTACGCGGCGTTCTCAGACCGGGACGCGTCTCTCTCACGTTGTCTGAGCAACAACTCCCGCACGCTGGCCTCCTTCACTGTGTCACAACCAACTCCAGGTTACAATTTTTGTTTTGGAGTCCATCAAATTTCCTAAAAAGCTTCACAAGTCATTCACAAATCAATCAGAGGTCAATCAGTCACAAGCTATTGAAATAAAATAGGACAAAGGTGACCAGACGTGAGATAGACCTTTGACGAACTCAAAAGGTAACACGGCCAACAAAGAAGCCAGTTCAGACCTCCCAAGAAGTGCTCCCACACAATTTGTTCAGACAAACATGGTAAATGGTCAGTTAATGTCAGATATCCGAATGTAATTTCTTCCTCTGCAACTGCTTATGTATCGATAAGGATTTTCAGATTTGCCAGTAGGGATTAACACAGGCAGTTAAATGTACGAAAAATGTATCTGTTGAAACTCGACATGCAATCTGAAACATTTTTCAGCAATCAATAAGAAGTAAGAAAAATTAGTTGAACCTTCAGTTAGAACATTCAAAAATTGGGGCGAGGGGGTGGGGGTTGGGGTGTTATTTGATCCCTATTAAAGCTCTTTTTGGACCAAGACTATGCCCTTCCCACTCTTCTATACTTTCACCTTTGACCTCTCATGTAGTCACATGTTTTATTCAACAGGTCAGCCCAACATTTGCACTGGCACCCCAATTGTCATCAACGAGATCAAACTGGACGGCAACTCAGTTGGGTTTATTGAGCTTTACGACGGTGGGCGTGGCTCCACCTCCCTCGATGCATATTCAGTGAAACTCTATGATTCTGGTGCAAGAGTGTATTCCATCCAGTCTCTGAGAGGCAAATCAACAAATGGGTAAGCCCCAAAAAAGTGTTTGCTTTATAATTTCAACCTGATTTTTTGGTAACAACTGCTTCTGTGTCATAAAGTTCAGCAGTACTTAGTTAGGATTGAAAGCTTAAGTTTTTCATAGCATGCTATCCTCTCAGTACACCAGTGTCAATGTCACTTCAGTCAAGTCCGAGTCTCAAGTCACTTGGGCTGAGGATGAGTTCGAGTCTCGAGTCATTTGGTTTAAGTCCAAGTCCAAGTCATGAGTCATTCGTTTCAAGTTCGAGCCCGAGTCATGTTTGTATGAGATGGATATTCATGGACATGGACACACATACATGTAAACGATATGATGTGTAAGGGGCGCATTTAATAACAAGCGTTATTATTTGCAATGCCAACTTGAGAGTGGCAAATCCAATTCCTTGAATTGCTTGTCATTTCTCTGCATGTTTGATCATTGCTTTCCTGATGCTCTGGGGTAGAAGTCTCTTTTAAAGAGATCCATAATTTTTTTTTGTTTATTAAATGGTAGAAATGGGTACTTCGTGTATGGCAAGCCCAGCGGGGAGTGGACTGTTGATTTTCCAATCAGCGGCAGTGATTTTCTGCGTAGTGATGGTTCTGGTGCCGTAGCTCTCTACAAAGAAGACAGTGATCAGAGCACCAACCTAGTCCTAACTGACGCTGTGGTGTATGGGTCTGGGAACCAGCCCAGCACGGCCGTCGTGGATCTCCTAACCCCAGGACAGAATCTGGTCCGAGTCGGTCCCGACTTCGGCCGGGGGGAGAGTAGTATCACTCGCTGCGTCTGCTGTGTGCCGCTGGCCAGCGTTGCTTTTACCGTGTCTGCGCCAACGCCGGGACAGGAGAACCGCTGCGTGGCGAGTACCATGCCGACCATGCCGGCCAACGTCATCATCAGCGAGGTGGGGCTGCAGGCAAGAGGGGCAGGGTTGGGGGAGTACGTGGAGCTGAGAGGACCGCCCGGTGCCAGCTTGGACACTTTCACGCTCGTTCTGGCCGAGTCATCCAAACAAGGCCCAGTGTATTATTACTCGCTCTCGCTCGAGAGACGAGTCATCCCGTCAGACGGTGTATTCGTCATCGGCGCCGTTGACCTCACCCCGCCGGTGGATGCCCTCTTCCCACAATCCTCAGGAGCTCCTTTCATCCGGCCAGGCAAGGGGGCTGTTTGTATCTATCGCAGCTCTGATAGTCAGTTCATAGAGGGCGCCGCAGTGACGAGCACTGGCCTGATGGATGCAGTTGTGTTTACTAACATCAGCAGTGAGTCTTCATCGGAGCTGAGTGCCATTCTGGGCTTTGACAGTATCTTCACTGGAAACTTCAGGTCAGTTGAATAATTTCTTCTACTCATTCAAGGACGATGTAATTGTTGTTCATTCATCCCCCTTTTTGGGGGCAAAAAGGCCTGTAACAAGAAGCATCTTCAAAATGATGTTTCCACCAACTATTATTATTATTATTATTAATATTTATTCAGCCAATTACAAGATACAAGAAGCAATCCACAAAAGTAAACAAACCTAAACAAAACTATCACTCCATCAAGTAAGTTTTTGGTTAACAGTTGAGGTAAATTAATTTTTAGTGTTTTTTTTTGGCAGTTTGCTGTGATATTTTGGGTCTTTTTGAAAGAACAACAGCAAAAGCAATTTTCATGTAAATTTGTACTGGTGCTAAAGGGACTTCCTGCATTACTGGCTGGCTTACTGACTGAGTTACTGAGTATGAATAATGTCCTTAAAGGGAATGTACAACATTTGCTTTTGCTGTAATTTTCAGAAATGGATGGATTGGGGGGGGGGTGTTAGTATTTTATAGCAAATATTGTTACACTGACTTGTTTGAAGGTTTGTGGTCAAGATACTGGAAAAACCAAGAAAAACAATCATGTCCCCATAGTCTAGTTCCCTGACCCCACTTAAGATGAAACACAGCAATTTATAGACCTCATGGAATTGTAAGGTCAGGGAACCCAGTCTAGCTGGCTTGTACCTGTTCATAGGTGTGTAATCGATTTGAAACAAATTGCAGACTAACTACATATGGCAAATTGGGGGCAGTATTTTTAAAAATCCGGGCAGTATTTTTAACAATCCAGGTTTTTTTTCAACGCTGGTCGGCCGACCAGCGTTGAAAAAAATGACTTTTTTTAAATAGCAAATTGATACAAAAATACAAGTTTTCTTAAAAATGACAGCACACCAGGTGCCATGATTTTACAGGATGCTTTAGACTGTCGTTCACTAACAGTCCAGTAAGGTACTTCATAATAATTTGGTAGTTTTGTTTTTTGATGTTTGCAAATGTTGTATATTGCCTTAACTGACACCTGTCCCTAAACTAGTCTTGTTTACATGACAATACAGTTTGTAAGGCGCATTTGAATTTGACTGTTCTTTTTCCTAAACCAATATCTTTGGACTTTGAAATGGTTCAAATTCTGTGTCTGTGCAGCGCCGTCGCCGACATTTCCACACCCTCCATATCGCGCTGTGCCTGCTGCAACACTCAAGACCCGTCTTCCTTCACGCTGTCTGCCCGCACTCCCGGCGAAACCAACCGATGCCCGAGGGGTACCTTCAAACAGACCATACAGATGCACATACTGGATGCGGCTTACCAAGTGTGGGTTACCGACCCGCGGTTTACCGGGGACTTGAGGAGGCAGATCGCTGCTGGCATCAATGCGGAGTGCAAGTGTGGATTCAATGAGAACTACCTGAAAGGTTAGGGGAAAAAACAAATGATTTTTGTACTGGATAAAATTTTTCTATAAATAAAAGTGCATACATGTGCATTATTGAACACCTCCAGGTTTGACCTTTTTCAATCTAAACCAGGATGTGTGTAATAAAAGCATCGTTTTTCGGAAGACCAACCAGTGTGCAGAATCCAGCACCGATTTTTTTCTTATATAAATTGCGTCAAGAAAATTGTCGGAAAGAAATCCATAGAGTGCATTCAGTGAAATGTTTCAGCTGGAATAAAACCTAAGAGCGATCTATTTGTAAACTCAATATCATAAACTTCTGCTTATTGAAAACATCTGTGCATAAAGGTTTCTCGTTGTCTTCATAAACTGAAACAATAATGAACCACTGAAAGCAGAAAAGTAAAACCCCTAAAAGCTCTGGTGACTTTTTATGCTGAAGCAGATGTGAAACTGAAGTTTCTGTCTTGAATGACATCACTGTATTGCTCATGAATATGGAAATTTGCATTAGCATTAAAACTTGAAAGGCGCCAAAACTCTCAAAATGGCAAAATGAAGATTAAAAATTGAATGGAACACAAAGGGACATTTCAACAATTGCATTTAAAAGAATTCCATTACACGTTCCCTTTAACATGTTTAGATAACACTGTAACATGTTTCTCTGTTGTATAAGTTATAAAAGCACATACATGGAAGAACCAGTAGGTGAAATTGTGCTGCTTGAGTTATTATTGCAGGTACCCATCTACCACAGAAAACACTACACTTATGTCACTGTACAATAGTGCTTGTTTACACTGTTTGTGAACTCACAGAATATTAAAATTTATGAGACGTTTAATGGCCAGATTTGTGGTCAAGACAACACTAGTCGTTGCAACTCGATGGCAAAGTCATCCATTCTCAAGTCAAGTGATGAGCATTTCAAATGAACTGTATCGGAGGAATTCCTTTTTCATTAATTCTTTCCTTGTTACTTGCAACCTGACTTTTTGATATGACTTGTTATGGACTTGTGATGGACATGTGATTGACATGTGATGGACATGTGATGGACTTGTGATTTACTTGTGATGGACTTGTGATGGACATGTGATGGACTTGTGATGGACATGTGATGGACTTGTGATGGACTTGTGATGGACTTGTGATTTACTTGTGATGGACATGTGATGGACATGTGATAAACTTGTAATGGACATGTGATGGACTTGCGATGACTTGTGATGGACTTGTGATTGACTTGATGACAGTTCTGGTCTGTGACAGAAATTTATGACCGTTGACAAACATTACCAAGAAGGGAAAAACAAATTGGTGTTGTTGTCCAGGATTGTGAAGGTAATCAGATGTCATCTAAATAAGAGTGGGACATGAGTGGAAGCTGTTAAAATTATTTTTGTTTAGCTGAGGGACCTTGGAAACTACATGTATTATTTCCCATGCAACCTGTGCAAACTTTTTTCACACAGTCAAAATGTGCACTTTTGTATTTTTTAAAGACGCAATGAGCAGTCTATCTGCTTTGTCATTTTATGAACAACCACCTCATCAAATGTTTTATAACCTCATGTTTTTTTATTAATTCTTTAATGTGGATAAACCAGATTCCTAAAATATTCGCCATGTGAAGGGTTTCACAGATCAAACTCCATTCGAACAATACACGGCTGCATCACATTGTTTACAAAATTGAAAGTTGTGCTCAGATTTGCCAACTTTCACTTGAAAAAAGTCTTAAACACAAGCAGTAGGTGTATCACTTGAATTGTTGGTGAATTTAAACATGCTAGCACCTTACATGAATGGAAAAGAATGAAAAAATGATTAGATCGCTGTTTTGCCTGTCGTTTATATAACTTCCCCCAAAATCTACATTTTGTAAATTGTATTTTGTTTGTAACTTTGTTTTTTTATTATTTTTTATTTTCAGGAGAAAAACTTCTCAATGGTAGTGTGTACTATCAGGCAGACATGTTGGCACTGAGCGAAGCCCATTCCAAGCTCCTGCGTGACAGCTATGTGCGTTTCGTCAGCAAGACAGAAAAGATGACAATACTGGGCGTCGATTTCCACATCGACAACAAGTGCTTCTCTGATTGCTTGTCTGGCGGCAAGCCCTCCACACCAGAGAAGCGGCAAGGAGGAGGAGGTAATCCTTGCCCTCATGTTTATTCATAACTGTGTTTATTCATTAGGCTATGTTTATTTATGAGTCATGTTAGTCATAAGGAGGCAACTGAATCAAATGCGTGTACATGTATGTAATGATGTCAAAGATGGGCAAGATTTATTCCCTTGCAATGGTGCATACACATTGAAGTGAAGCAAAGCAACAACATGACCTATTAATGACTCATGAATATTTACAAGCTTCTGCTTATTATTAATGAGCATTAAACATATTCAACATCCGTCTAATTAGATGAAATACCAAAAAGTTTTTTAAAAGTGAAAAAAACAACTGTCAATTGATTGGTATTTCCAATTGTGGTATTATTTTGGCTATTTCTGACCCTCCTACTATTTAAGAGGTCACCAATGATCAAAATTCTCTTCCTCACCTCCTGGCCTACTGTGTACAAACCAATGGGGGTCTTGACCAATATCGACCCAAGTAATAACAAGGCTGACAATACATGTTTCTTACTGTTTAATTGAGAACTATTTTCAACAAACAACTTTGAATTAGCGAAGAGCAAATCATATGCTCTCTGACAATGCAAAAAATTCCAAATTCTGTTTCTGCAAAGTGGTCGAAAATGTCTTTTGAAAAAATGAATAACTTCAAATGCGATTATCTCGGGATGAACTTTTGTCAAATTTTGAGGTTTTTGTCACTTCGTGAGCAAAGCGACAAATTGTTTGTTTCCCATATGTCTGTCCAGGTGTCAATCCTGCCATTCCTGTAGCTGTGGTGGTCTTCGTCATTGTCATTGTAGCAGTCACACTTTATGTCTTCCTTCGACGTCGGAGAGGAGTCCTATTGTAAGTAATTGCTGAAGCACCTCTTAGTGAGGAGATACATGTATGTATGGTGTGCTGTTCTCTTAGTTTGTTTTGAGCCAATTTTGTTTGGCCAAGCAAAAATGACAGTTTCCAGTAATTGACTGACTGAACAATTTGGCTGTACATGTACAGAGTTGCAGTCATTTTTTGTTTCCATTTTTCCCTAGTTAAAAAAAAAATGCAAAAAAGGCTGGAACAAGTGTGCAATAAAATATCTGTATTAAATATCTCCAAGTAAATATGTAAACACTCTTAGCCCAGCTGCGAATTTTCTCTTTACTTTATAAAGATGGAGAGTTTAAATTTAGCAGAGCCATGAAGTTGACCCTGATTTTTTTTTTTTTCAACTTTCATCAGCTTTATTTTAATCTTAGAAAAAAGAAGAAACATTGTCAGTATCAAGATAATGAAGACAATTTCTTCTGCAATTCACAGCATCACGAAAACTAAAGGCGGCGAGAGCGGGATGGCTACCGAGGGTGAATTCCGTGTGACCAACACCCGCACTTTGAGTGACCTGGACGTCCTGGGCACGTCGAGCGAGAATCACAATGCCACCGATTTCTTCTCCAACCCCGTGTACATGTATGAGGCTCCCAGGGAGCCTGTGCCACAGCCTGGCCCACCGGTGAAGTCGGAGCCGAAAGGAAATTCTGATGGGAAGGCCATGGAAAAAAGGTCGGAACAGGCTAAGGAAGAGAATGCAACAAGTAACGGCGTGTAGTCACTAAATGAAAAGAGTCCAATACATTTTGCAGTACTGAGCTGAAATTTCATGGAAGTCTTTTGAGATATGGCTGACACCAAACATTGACGCTATTAGCTTTGGGTAAATTTTGGTAAATAAGAAGTTTACAGAAACCAAATAGAGTCATTCTTTAAAAGTTTGGATGCTCAATAACCCAACTTCAAATTTTAGTGACCTTCTATGCCTTGTACTTTGTAGCTGAACCAATATATGCAAACCAGTGGAGTAAATCCATGTTGGCGAGTGGGGGGATGGGGGTTGACCAAAAATCCGAAAACGACCCGGCAAGGGAAATTCAAAGAGCGGGATTGGGGGCAGATTGCACCAGATGACAACAGGGGGCGCTGTTCATAATACAAATGTACATCTAATGCAAAGTTGTGTTTTTACGTCCCGAAACTTTACATCAAAACAGTGCATTTAAAGCTTTGATTCTGTTTGTTCTCCCTTTTTCAGAACTATTTAATACATTTGGACTGTTAAGAAAGTTACAAGATCGGCATTTGTTTAGATGCTCACCACAAAAATCTGAGGGGGGAGGGGCAGGGGGGTGATCCAATGGCCCATCCCAGTGGTCAAACAAGGAGGGGGATAAATCCAGCCAGGATTTACCTCAGTGTGGATGCAAACAGAGGCCGTAGACCTGATGAAGATAACATTTTGAATAACATTCGATTGTTCGTCTTCCAATCTTGCCGTCTGTGTTGAAATGATATCCTTTAAAGCAGCCAACAAATTTACCCAAAGATTTACATGTTTATGTATTCATAGTATACAGCCAAAGCCACAATATCTAATTGCCATTATAACCTTCACTAATTCACCTGGAATATAGATACATCAAGCAATACTTTCATAACATGATTAAAGAAAACCACATTCCAAGACCAGCAGCCATTTTTACATCATAGACACTTGGACATTTTTGAAGTTGGAGCTTAAAGTCTTGACGCCTTCTTATTGGCCATCCTGTGCTTGATGTTATACCTAACTTTAAAAATCAGAAATTGTTATTTCACCCCATGAGAACAATTTTGGAATTGTGACACAAAAAATGGTGTACTGCAAAGGACAATCACAAGAAATAAAGCAGATGTATTTTTATTAAATTGTGAAACTTCCATTTATACAGGGGCTGAACTCTGTTAGACATTCATATATCGTTTTATATATCACTTTTTAAAAAATAAATTTTCTGCACTTTTTGCACACTTTCGGACTTGACTTGTTTTATACATTTAATACTTATGTTTTATACATTGTATACTTATTTTTCGTACATTTAATCACACTGTTCCCAATCCAAACTAGTGAATTTTTTCGCTATTAAGTGTTTGTATGAAACACAACTTTTGGACTTATCATGTAGTCCTAAATGTCTATATTTTTATATAATATTTTACACATAGTGTCTTTGCTGCGTGATATGTACAAGGTGCTACTCCTTGAATGAAAATATAACAAGTGCGAGTGCACAAAAAGCTCTGGCTGCCTTGCATGTACAAGCCGAAGTGCTGCCCATGTGAAAATCACTCTCTGAAAATTGACCGAAATGAGATCACTACGTTTCCCACAAAAATTGTGTGCTATATAGGCCTACCACGTGACTAGAACATTACAGCACATATTTGGCCTCCAATTACACAATTTTCATAAACATTTTTAGGAATTGTTACAAACAATTTTTGTTGAATATTTAATTGATTTTGTTTGCCTTTTTTGGAACAGTTTTATTTGGTAGGTATATTTTACAGAAAACTTTAAATACAGGGATTTTTTGGTCAATTTTCTGGGGACAGACATATGCACAAAAGACGGGCATGCGCATCGATCGAGACAAAGCTTGTCTTCTGAAAACTTTTGGCAAGAGTGCATTTATATGACCATGGCATGGCATTTGATCAATGTTTGGTCAAATAATTTTAGTCAATTTTTGGGGACAGATAGACAGACCAACCGACCGACCGACCGACCACCAAGTGCCAAGTAGAGGCTCCTGCCAGAGCTTTAAAACAACTAGGCCTTGCCACTGTGATCCACTGAAAGTTATGTTGGGAATGGAGACATTTTTTCCTGTAGGAAAAGTGGAGAAAAAAAGCATATTTCATGCTTTGAATGGTATATTTTTACAGATTTTAGATACTTGAATACAATTTTTTTTGTAATGAAGTGCTTGGTAGTGGTACTAGCTTCTAGATGTCATAGTTAAATATATTAGATTATTACAATTTTTATAAAGAAGACAGAACGCTTTATAATGGTTTTAAAATGTTGGTGTGCATACCAGTTTGAGTAATATCTCCGTTTGTCTCATGTATTCAGATACAGCCTGTCTCCAAAAAAATTGGTACAATCGAAAACGATTTTTTTTTTCATTATTAAATCTCAACATAAGTAAGTCGTTTTGAGCATCACATTAAAGAAAAAAGACCAGTCTTTCCAATACTTTTTGTTTCATCTCATTTGTTTTTGTCAATCCAGAGATAACTCCAGTTTACTGCGGAACACAAAAATCGAGTTTGTTTCTTTTGCCAAGTTGCAATCTTTTGTGAGCTTCAAGACAGCATGGCACAGTACTCGAAACAACTCTGCCCATGCATAAAAGTGGCACAAAATCGATTTGGGTGTATTGCACTAAATTGATTATATCTCTGAATTGACAAAAGCAAATAAGATCAAACAAACACTATTGGAAAGCCCAGTCTTTGTTCTTTAATATTATGCCAAGTAAGAATGAGTTATTTTGAAATTTCGTATTTAACCAATTTTTTTTCTTATTGTACCATTTTTTTTTAGACAGGCTGTATATCAATGTACTGTACAAGAAGATGTCATTCATCCTAATATCCATTAAGGAAAGCAATAAGAATGTGTAAAATTTGATGTCAAAATTCCATATACTTCCATATATGTAAAAAGTTTGTATTTTTGCACAGTTTAGCATTTTCATACTTATTGTAGATTCCTGACTTTTCTTAGTTTTCTTACTTTTGAAAAAAAACAACAACGTCTGTTTTTACGAAGAGCGGATAATTGTGTTTTTCAATGCAAACTACAAGCCTTACCCAGTTATTTCAACAACAAAAATGTACAGGCCCTTTTTTTATCAATCGGTGTGTGAAATTTTTAACACAAGATTTTATACCAGTACTTAAATTTTAATATTACAATTCATACGGAATACCGATTGGATTTATTTGTTTTGAAAAAAAAATCCATGAGTGTAATGCTCAAATATGAAAATCACTAAAAACATAATCCTCGAAAGATGGAGAAAATTTTGCCCTTCAAGCCCTGAAAATTTGCACGTTTTTGTTTGGTATTTTTTTTTTAGCCCTTAAAGGGAATATACAACAATGGCAAACATCGAAAAACAAAACTACATTTAAAAAAAAAAATGACTTACTAGGATGTTGGTAAATGCCAGTCTAAAGCATCCTGTGAAATTATGGCACCAGGTGTGAAGTCATTTTCAAAAAAAGTGGTATTTTGTATAAATTTCCAACGGTGGTCGGCCGACCACCGTTGGAAAAACCTAACTATTTTTCAGCTACTGCTCCAAATTTACCTTTTTTTCAGTCAATATTTTGTTTGCTATTGGTTACATGTTCATGAACGGGTGCAGGCCAGCTAGACTGGTTCTATTACCTTACAAATTTCCGGCATCTATAAATTGATCCATTTCATCTTTAGTGGAGTCAGGGAACCAGACTACTTGACCAATTTTGTTTTTCTTGGTTTTTCCAGCATTTTCGATCACAAAACTTCAAACATGTCAGTGGAACAATATTTGATCTATTATACTAACCCCTCAAATAGTTCATTTCTGAAAATTACAGCAAAAGCCAATGATGTACATTCCCTTTAATAGTTTGTTGTACCTTTTATTATTGGTCTTTAATGTGCTTTAATTATACGCCCACGGGGATTATGTTTAACCCAAAGATGATCAACTTTAATGACGTGAAATATTTTTTGCACATTTTACCTTGCCTTAATATGAAAAAATGTCCCATCCTGTATTAATGTCTATGTTTAATTATGCAAAACAAGACTGCGTCTTGACCTCCAGATTCTGACCATTCAGTGGGCGCCTTCTATCGGGTCTTCGGTAACCTGTTGTTGTATTACCAAAAAAATATGGCAGCCAATTAATCAACAGCTTAGGCCCACTGTCTGCTCGAAATGACGTCACAATTTCTAAAGTCGACTCCGATTGGCTGGCGTGCGGGGCGGCATGTAATTTGCATGTTCACATAATAGACGTTGTTGCAGAGCTTGCGGGCTCTCTTGAACAACGGATGATACTCGGACTACCTTTCTTGCCCTGAATCGTTCGATTAGCCAATATATATATATTTTTTTAGTCAAGACCGTTTTAGCTACGCAGTACGCAAATACTCTTGCATATTCCATTTAAGACTCAGTGTAATTTGTAATGTTTGTATCTTATTTTGGTGTCACTTAGAATTTGAAACGTTTTAAAGTTTTACTTTGGTGTCTTTCTTTAATGTGTAAGAAATTTATAGAAATAAAATACGATGCTGACAGAAGTTTCATTTAATAATGTGCCTTCCTGTCTATACTTGCAGCTTTGACGAAATCCAAAACTGACCAAGATTAACGTGAGGAATTTCATCTCGAAATAGTCTGCATAGTTTGATATTACCACTAAACAGATCAATATTTAGAGAGTAGGGAATTCCACGTACATGCACTCGTACAAAGATTTTCAGCAGAGATGTTAATAATTTTGCGATTGTCGTTTCATTAATGATGTTAAGTGACACAACACCACATTCAAATACATTCAAACTGAACCAGCAGACTAGATGAGTTTAGATATGTCTTGCCCTGCATTACTTTGATAGTAGAAGTAAAGTAAATACCTTTACACTTCGTTGCTTCTGAAACTGATTAACTTTTGAGCACACACCTGCCAAGCACGGTCTTTGATGACTGCATATACCCGTCGGACAGATACGTCGGTAATACTAATGGGCCTACGCTGTATACCATATCACAGGTAAGTGTCAAAGACCTATTACTAATTTGCTTTAGCCTATAATTACATGTAACTGCAAATATCAAACACAAGCCTACAACAGGCGTACATAATTAAGCTTCATTAATCAAGTATGACCGAAAATAAGCGGTAGTCAGTTTATTATAAGACGTCTTCCTATGTCATTGCTGCCCTTTTTGCTTGTACTTACATGTACATGTACATGCACTTTAATGTGGCAAAATTCGCTGGCCAGTCAGTCTATTCTGCAGTGTAGTCATTAGTCAAGTATGTATTTTTCCTGAGTACGAGTACTTTAGCATGAGTAATACCATGAGTACGAATACGAGTGCGGGTGCTTTGTCATATAGTACGAGTACAGGTACTGGGCATTTTGTCCCATGAGCATGCAGGGCCTACGAAGTACCAGAATTTATTAATCCGGTAAAAAGGATATTGGCGGCCATTTTGAAAACAAAATAACGGTGATATAAACACACAAAAACTGGCACCGCTCAGACTGCAAAGCTATCACACATTTTCCAGCTCTAGAGGTGCATATCTTGCCTAAAATAGATATGAGCATTGCTCCTTTCGATTTTGATACCGGTGGCCCAATTTTTGGACCGAAGCTGATAGCCTATCCGGGGTAGCAAAGTAGAAGGCAGTGTAAGACTATAAAATAAACTCTTGACATTATAAAGCATGTCATTTCAACATTGGAAGCAGCAGGTTTTTATATACATGTTATGATAAGTGCCAGTTACCATGGTTATGAGAGTGTTTTGATGTGTTTTATTTTTAATAATATTTTGTTTCTTTTTCATAATGTTTAAAATTCCATAACTGCAAAAGTACGTGAGTGATTTGAATGATTCTTTCAGAAAAAGAAAGCTTAATATTACTTGGGCTTTATCCTGGATCTGGAAAGCGCTACAAGCAGAACATTTGGGGGGAAAATAGGGGGCAGTATTTGGGTTTCCTTTTTATTTTCTCGCACCAGAGGAATACATTTCAATGTGCACGTGTTTTCAAGGGTTTTGATGCCAAACTAGGCATTAAACAATGTAAAAGCCTCCTAAGCAGTAGAAAACTGGTTCTTTTCCAGCATGTATAGATCTTTTAAAAAGAAACTAAATTCCTGTGGGACAACATTTGCAAGAGTGAGCGTACGAATACCGGGAATATTATTTTCTTGTAAGTGCAAGTGCGATTACCAAAAAAATGTACTCGATCGAGTATCACGAGTACGAGTAATGCAACACTGCTATATTTTGTCTTTATTTAAAGCAATATGTGCCGCGCGCTTCGTTGTGTGATGCCGCATATTTCACTCGAATTATAGGAGAGAGCGTTTCACCTGTTCATATTAAGGTCCATTGTCGAGCGAGACTTCAAATTAACCCAGCAGTTTTTTTTATGATGGGCCTTGCGAGATCAATCAATATTTG